GTCACTGCTGGAAGATGGCAGGAGGGAGGGGCTACTATATTTGGGCTAAAATGGCCGCTCCCAGACTCAGTGATCGTGAATCCGACCTGTGGTCCTTTGCCGCATTTCTCTCCCCCTCTCTCATACCGCCTTTCCAATCAGCCTACTGAGGAAAAAAAAAAAAAAGCTTTCAACACCCATTTTCCCGAGGGTGGCTGATAAGAATGGCAGTAATGGTTAGAAGTGGTCCACTTTAGTCACAATTTAGATGCAAATGCAGCAAAGCATGCTTGAAAGTTACATAGGTGGTTCAGAACTGCACTTTGAAAACATAAAAAAAAAAAAAGTTCTAACTACCCCCCTTGTGAGCTCCGACTTTATTTTAGGCTCAGGAAAAAATAAACTGGGTTCTAATATGCAACAACACGCCGGGACACATTCCTGATTTCTGCAAAGAGTGGGGAAGCTTAAATTAGCAGAGATGCATTGGAAAAAAGCTCTGCTGTTTTCAATCTTTCTGTGTGATGGAGTGAATTTATGATTAAGGGAAATGTTCCAGAACAAGCCAGTGGCCATTTCCCTCCTCTCAGCCAACTTGGCCCTTTTCATCCTCCAAGACAGCCAGACGGTCACACAGAACACATGTGTTCACATTACAAAAAGGCACATCTCATAAGGAAACACCATCCCACTCATACATTAATACCCAGAGAGACTCCACCCTGTGACAGAGCAGCTGGTCACAAATCACCCAAACGCTTAGCAAACGGAAAGTCTTTCCCTCCTCAAACACAATGAAGACAGTTATGCTGGAGTTTGTGTCCAACTTCACGGCCCTAAATTTGCATTCGTCTCCAGGTCCGTCTGCATTTGCCTTCTATGGCGGCAAGGAGGAGGTAAATGGGCACCTTCTGTAGTGACAATAAGACAAAGGTTTTCTATGTTCGTCTGTGTTTGTTTGTACAGATTTACATCTGCATGTTTGAACCACGACGGCAGCGATGAAGGGAAAAAAAACAGTTTGACAGTAAAGAACATCAAAGTCATCATCAAGCCCAAACAAGAACAAACAGTACGGCAGTAAAACCACACACACGGACCGGAGCATTTTTCCTGCGCTGCTCATAAGGGATCCCTGCGTGATGTCAGAGTCCAGCCAAAACAAAAGAAAGCTTTTACATATATTAAGGAAAAGGAGAAATCCCCCCCCCCGTTTTCCTCCTGATTCATGTGTTTGTTCTTGCTAAAAAGAACCTTGAGATATTTCTCCACAGAGCACCGGAATTTATGAGCGGCTCGCACTCCTCCTCTCAGGTCAAAGCAGCCAAGCAAAACAAAAAAGCAAAGACAGTGAATGATGGAGAACAGAAAAAGGCCAACGCTACAGTGGAAACAAACAGCATCCTGAGAGGACGGAGAACAATAAACGATAAAACACATCTATATGGGTCCACTTAATAATCTGTAGGATGGGAATACCAGGCACAGCTGCAGAGGCTCAATACGCCATTAATCACTAACCTGAAAACAGACTTTAAAGCTGAAGAATCTACATAAAAAGCTTTGCTGCAGAACAATTGTTTCCCTTACCTAGGTACGGTATGCAAGAGACCATGCTCTGGCTGCTAATGAAGTCTCTCAGACGTTTGTAGTTGTCTTCTTTGGACATCAGGTAGTCGAGCCGATCGAACGTAGACTTGTCCTTTCGACTCAGCAACTGTGAGGTTGATGAAAAAATACCACAAAACCAAAAAGGACAAACAGGCAATCAGTGCAAAGAAGAAGAAAAAAACCCAAACAACTGGCCTTATTTCGCTGCCAGTGTCAGGTTGGCCCTTGTGTTTAGGGAAACCACATATGGAATAAATAAAAGTATAGCTACTCACCGCCCATGTTTTTGTGAGCCTGAAGATGGGCGCACTTTGTAGCCCTGACACCACGGCCATGACGGCGTGCAGGTTGTTCATGTCACACAGTTTCTGGGAAAAGTTACACAACATCAATCATCTGCACTGCCAGACGGTCCTGATCAGAGTTATTGATCTCCCATAAAGCTACCAGTGATTTGGGAAAAGAAACAATGATTAAAACCATAGCCACATATGAGAGTATGTAACTTTTTTATTCAGCTTTTTTATTGTCATTTTACTGTCACAGGTCCAGAGCATCCCCTTAGGGAGCAGTGGGCCGCCATTGTGCGTTGCCCGGGGAGCAGTGTGGGGTTGAGGGTCTTGTTCATTGAGCCAGAGTGGCAGTCTGTGGGAGTGGGGCTTCAACTCAGAACCTCTGGATGCCAAGCCGATGCCCCACCCACTTATGGAGGATAAAAAGTGCCAAAATTAAATAAATAAATACAGCATTAAATAAATAATTAAATGTGGAATTAAATAAATAAATGTGTCATTCATGAATTAAAACCACATCACTAATATAAAGTGCCACAACTAAATAAATAAATACAGCGATAAACAATTAATGAGATCAAAGTTAGGGGGCGGTTATCTAACACCTGATTGGTCACCCTGCACATTAAGGCGAAGCAAATCGATTACAGAGACTGTGATCCACAGGTTGTGAACATACTCTGATACAGTGGCGACTCGATTCGCGTTAACCCCGCCCCCTAACTTTGATAGGTGAGTTTGACATATTCT